GTGAGAGGTTAGCTTGTGTATTTGCATTTTTTCCAATTTTTTGAGGGAGACTTGTATTGCAATGTATTTCCCTCTTAGGGCTGCTTTTGGTGTATCCCAAAGATTTTGAATGTTGTATTTTCATTTGTTTCCATGAATTTTTAAAATTATTCTCTTATTTCCTGGTTGACCCATTTATCTTTTAGTAGGATGCTCTCTAACCTCCATGTATTTCAGTTTCTTCCAAATTTCTTCTTGTGATTGAGTTCTATTTTCAAAGCATTGTAATCTGAAAATCTCAATAGTTTAGTATCAGTTGAGACCTGATTTGTGACCCAGTATGTGGACTACTCTGGAGAAAGTTCCATGTGCACTTGAGAAGACTGTGTATTGAGTTGCATTCGGATGGAAAGTACTGTATATATCTGTGAAATCTATTTGGTCCAGTGTATCATTTAAGGCCCTTGTTTCTTTGTTGATGTTCTGCTTAAAATATCTGTCATTTGCTGAAAGTGCCATGTTGAAGTCTCCTAGTGTATTATTTTCTAAGTATCTCTTTACTTTTTATTAATTGATTGATATACTTGGCTGCTCCCACATTAGGGGCATAAATATTCATGATTGTTAGGTCTTCTTGTTGGATAGACCCTTTAAGTATAATATAGTGTCCTTCTTCATCTCTTACTACAGTATTTGGTATAAACTTTAATTTATATGATATGAGGATTGCTACCCCAGCTCTTTTGAGGACCATGTGAATGGTAAATGGTTCTCTACCCCTTCATTTTCAGGCTGGAAGTGTCCTTAGATCTAAAATGAGTATCTTGTAGACAGCACATAGATGGGTCTCACTTTTTTATTCAGTCTGATACTCTGTGTGTTTTGATGGGATCATTTAGCCCATTCATGTTCAGAGTAACTATTGAAAGATATGAATTTAGTGTCATCATATTACCTATTGAGTCCCTGTTTTTGTGGATTGTTTCTTTGGGCTCCCTTTTTCTTTTACAGGGTCCCCCTTAATATTTCTTGCAGAGCCGGTTTGGTGGTCACATATTCTTTCAGTTTCCACCTCTCCTGGGAGCTCTTTATCTCTCCTTCTATTCTGAATGAGGGCCTTGCTGGATAAGGTATTCTTGGCTGCATGTTCTTCTCATTTAGTACCCTGTATATATCATGCCAGCCCTTCTGACCTGGCAGGTCTCTGTGGAGAGGTCTGCTGTTATTCTGATATTTCTCCCCATATAAGTTAAGAATCTCTTGTCTGGAGCTGCTTTAAGAATTTTCTTTTTCTCTTTGAAATTTGCAAATTTCACTATTAAATATCTAGGTGTTGAATGGTTTGTATTGATTTTTTTTTTTTGGGGGGGGGGATCTTTCTATCTCTTGGATCTGATTGCCTGTTTCCTTCCCCAGATTAGGGAAGTTCTCAGCTATGATTTGTTCAAATATACTTTGTGATCCTGTCTCTCTCTCAGCCTCTTCGGGAATCCCAATTAGATGTATATTCTTCCTTCTCAAGCCATTATTTATTTCCTTCAGCCTTTCCTCGTGGGCTCTTAGTTGTTTTTCCTCTTTTTTCCCCAGCTTCCTTTCAATCCATCAACTTGTCTTCCATGCCACTCACTCTCTTCCACTTCATTAATCCTAGCAGTTATAGCATCCAGTTTGGATTGCATCTAGGTTAATCTATTTTTAATTTTGGCCTGATTAGATCCCAATTGTACAGTAGGGAAGTTTCTAGAGTCCTTTATGCTTTTTTCCAGAGCCACCAGTGGCTTTATAATTGTACTTCTGAATTGAATTTCTGACATCATATTGAAATCCAAAATCTGCAACTTTGTGGCAGAGAGTATTGTTTCTGGTTTTTTCTTTTGTGGTGAATTCTTCCTTCTAGTCATTTTGTCCAGTACAGAGTGGCTCTATGAGCAGGCTGAGTCAAAAATATGAACCACAACCTAAGTAAAACACACCCTAGATTATTCTGAAGAGGTAAGAAACCAGAAAATAAAAGAAAAAGAACAGAACAACAAAATAAAAAAGGAACACTACAGTGAAAAATAAATTTTAAAACAAGGCAGTAAAAGTAAAAAGCCAAAAACCAAAAACAAAGAAGAAAAAAGACAAAGCAAAAAAAACAAAGTAAAGAGGAAAAAGAAAAAAAATTAAAATGGGGGGATGGTGGTAGAGAGTAAATGGTAGTGGAGAGAGAATATAATCTACCTGAGGGGTCCTAGAGGGTGAACCTCTTGGTTCTGAGTGTATTTTGTTCTGTATGTTAGAAGATCCTCAATCCCAAATTTATATAAACCAGCAATACTTATAGAAAGCCCCAACACTGACCACAAAAACAAACAAGATAAAAGAGGGGGCAGAATGGGAAGGAAGAGAGAATATAATCTCACAGAATGGACCAACACAGTGCTCCACATGGTTCTGAGTGTATACTGGTTGTGTCTTAGAAGGTACTAACTTCCACCATTGTAAAACAAAACAAGGCAGAAAAAACAAAAAACAAATACTCAGATCTTGTATATCTACCATAATTAAATTGAATACATTGAAGGGAATCCAGAAGTGAAAAATATATCTAAGACATGTAATTGTAGAAATATGAAAGTTAAAATGGAAAATACTTAAAAATGAAGAGCTTGTAAAATATTGTAGTTAAGGTGGGAAAAGAGAAAAAATATTGGAGATTTTTAGTCTGATATAAGAATGAGTTGTAATGGAAAAAGGAAAAAAAAAAGGACTTTCTAGTTCTATGTATTATTTTCTCTCAGTCCTGGAGCTTTCCAGTGCTGCTTGGTCAATAAACTTGCTCTTCCCTTGTCCTTCCAGATGGTCTTCTGGGGGAGGGGCCTGCTGCCCTGATTCTCAGGTGTGTGCACCTGGGGGAGATGCCCCGTGCCAGGTGTCGGGTGTCCAGCTCAGTGTGAGCTGTTTATCCAGTGAGGCCTTTGTTCCCTAGAGGCCCTGCCTCTCCCAGGCACAAGGTGAAACAAAGAGGAACAACAATGATGGCGGTGGTCAGGTCTCCAGCTCTGGAGTCGAGCTCCCTGTGAGTAACTAACCACAGCTCCCAGTCCACACTGGCCTAGATGCTCCTGGGGGGCAGGCGCAGGTGCACTGATCTCCACAGCTTGGGGGCACTCAGCGGTAGGAGAGTTCTCACTGTCCTGTGCCCTCCTTGCTTCCTCCTGTCCCAGGGGAAATGCAGGATTGCCAGCTTTGTTCTCTTGAGCACCCTGGGATCCAGGTCCCTGTGTGGCTTGACCTGCACTCCCGGGGGGCCGCTTCTCCTGAAGGGAACAGGGTACAGCCACCTCCTTCCGTTGCCAGGCTCTAGGGTAAAGGGAGCTCTAGAGCTGGCCACCTAGCCACCTGGGTTCTCCCAAATGCCCTGCGGAGCTCCAGCCCTTTACCAATATTGGCCCGCGGTTTACGGTGAGCCTTCCCCCTGGGCGACCCTCCTCTTATAGTGACTCCAGGAATCTTGAGGCTTCACTGCCCCTCCTGGAATTTTGCCCAATTTCCCTGCTAAGCATTTTTCCATCAGGTAAAACTCCGGTGTGGATTTTTAAAGTTCCTGCTTCTCCGGGGCTGGCTTTCCTGCCCTGGAGTCTCTTGCCACTCCACCTTAGCCCTGCTAGTCGCAGTTCCCCTCCCCCACTTATTCTTTTTTATTTTCATTTTTTGTCTTCCTACCTTGTTAAAAGCAATAACTTTTCTCTCTGTAGCATTCCAGCTGTTCTCTCTTTAAATCTTAGGTTGAATTCATAGGTGTTCAGGATGTTTTGAAAGTTATTTAGGTAAGTTTGTGGGGCCAGGTGAGTTGAGGACCCCTACTCTTCTGCCATCTTCCAAAGTCACATTTTCATTTTGTTTTAGTTTACAAAGAAAATTCGAACTAAAATCCACATATTTTGGGAGGTGATCTACCCACTAGTTACACAAATAGATCAGAGATAGATCATCAACACAGGCATATATACCCATGCCTTCAGAGAGATAACTGCCTCTCTTTCTGTGCTAGACTCTGCTACAGCTTTATTTGGGATCTGGCTAGACAACAAGGGCAGGGATTCCTAAATTAGTATAGGTAATCTACAAAGCAAATGCTCTGCCAGTAAAGAATGAAGGATGATTTACCATGTTGTAATAAGTGAGAATCCTCTGGTGAGCCATGGACTCTCAAGAAACAACCAAAGGAACAGAATACGAAGTCCAAAAAGGACTTACTCAAAAAAACATTAATGATGACTTTACAAACAAGACAAATGAAAGAGAAATATTTCATACATGGTTTTTATAAGTAAAAATTATTCTTTCTCAAGATATTCCAAATGATATTTTTAAAAATTTAGACATAATTGACATATAACATTAGTTTCATGTACATAACATGATTTGTTATTGATATATACTACAAAATGATCACCATAGTACATCCTGTTAACATCCATCACTATACATAGATATAAATTTTTTTTTCTTGTGATGAAAACTGTGAAGATCTATTCTCTCACCAAATTTCAAGTACAAAATACACTATTATTAACCACAATCCCGACTGTCCATTACTTCACTAGGACTAGTTTATTTTATAGCTGACAGTTTATACTTTATAACCCCTTAGATGATATTTTAAAATGTTGTCTCCATGCATTTTTATCATGTATGGATTATTACACTAAAGAACATTACTAGTGAACTATCTGAAGAAATCAGAAATGCTTAACACATGAAGAAGCCTAACTTTTTAATAGTCTTAGGTATATCCCTTCTCCATTTACAGAATTTTTAAAAATTATAAGTCTCCTGCATGTGTTTGGTATCAAAAGAGCAGAAATTAAATACAGCTAGAAGTATTCTGGCAACTTTAAGAAACATGAAATATCTTTTTCATAATGGTTACTGGATTAACTATATTGATAGAAGTACATTTCCTGGAAAATTAGACTTTAATTTTAAATATGAACCACAAACAAGTTTAGTTAAATAAGAACTTTTTTACATACGTTAGGGTTGTTTCCATTCTCGAGACTTGTTCGAGGTCTTCATGAGGGTCCTTGAATCCAGTAAAGTAGTAATAAGATTTGTCCCACTTGATGGGCCTGTCAGACATCCTTTTAGCATCCTTGAGAGGCTGGGAATGCACATTACTATTCAAGCTTTGGATATGTTCAACAGATAAACTGCAGGAGTTGAGAATATATAATACTGTGCTTAGCAGATCTCTGGTGTGCAAAGTAAATTTGACTGCTCGAAATCCTAGAGAATATAATTCCCCCAAACAATTAATACAGATGATTATTTGCTTTATTCAACATAATTTTTCATGCAACATAAGTAAAATGAAAATCTTTTAAAACATTTGATTACTGATTAAAATCTATCCAACTGGCAAATAATCTGTAAATGGAAAACTACTTGTGTTCTCCAAAACCATACTACAGTATCTTTACCTTCATGAATTCCTCAGTCAGTTCCCTTTCTAGTTTGGCACTAGAGACCAAATACATTTCAGCCCAAGGGTCGGGGGGTACAGAATATTTTCAATGCTGCCCATAAATTTGGTCTCTACAGTCTAAGAGATGGAAAAGCTCTCCTATGAGCGAATCTCCATGAAAGATGGTATCTAGCACTAAGACAAAGAGGGGAAAAGAGGGGACGGGGAGGTTGTACTGTGATAGTGGTTCAGATGGAGCAGCCAGACAGTCTAGTCTCAGGGGTGACAGAAATCCATCTCAAATTTTCTCTATGATTACAGGATCTTACCTACTAGGTAACTCAATATTTTTGGAAGTGATGTGAAATTCCCTGTTTAAAAGTTAAAACTTCACAATCTGATTTTGATTTTGAGCAGTCAGTGGGCTAAGGTTAGTAATCTAACTTGTTACATCCTCAACAGGAGGTCTAGAGTTCTCTCTCTCTCTCTTTTCTCTTCATTACTGGGTGTTAGGCTTGGTTCTAGCTGAATTTATGTAGCTTCTCAACACCCCCATCAACTTTGTGATTCTTATCTCTGCAAATATGAAGAAATCTGGCTCAAGGAGATTAGGAAGAATGCAGAGCAAGGGCTTAAATCTGAGTTGACTCCAAGCCCAGTATTTTCTCCAGAACAGAATGCTGACTCTTTCTTCTTGGTTTTGAAAATTATACCGTTATTATAGAAGTATATCCTCACTGTGAAATTAGAGATACATATAGTAAAAATAAAAATCTTCTGTTAACAGGCATACAACCTCACATCTTTACTAGATATAACCACCATTAACAGTAAGATGATACCTATGCTTTTTGACCTGCACTGTCTCATATGGTAGCTACTAGTCCTATGTGGTGGTTTAGAATTAGATTAATTAAAATTAAACAAAATTAAAATTCAGTTCCTGGTCACACTAACATTTCAAGTGCTCAACAGTCACATGGGGCTGCTGTATTAGTGCAAATACAGAACATTTATATCATCACAGAAAGTTCTCTTGGAACTTGGAACTGGTCTAGACCTTTTCTTTGTGCTTATGTATGTATATTACATAGGATATATACCCCTATTTGTTTACACAAACACACGTCTACAGTTTGAATTATTTCCTTTTTTCTTTTCTTATTTATTTATTTATTTATTTATTTATTTATTTATTTATTTATTCATTCATTCATTCATTCATTCATGAGAGACAGAGAGAGAGAGAGACAGAGGCAGAGACATGGGCAGAAGGAGAAGCAGGCTCCATGCAGGAAGCCCCATGTAGGACTCGATCCTGGGTCTCCAGGATCAGGCCCTGGGCTGAAGCCGGCGCTAAACCGCTGAGCCACCCGGGCTGCCCCAAATAGTTTCCTTTTTTTTTTTTTTAATATTTTTTATTTATTTATTTATTTATTTATTTATTTATTTATTTATTTATTTATTTATTTATTTATTTATTTATGATAGTCACACACACACACAGAGAGAGAGAGAGAGAGAGGCAGAGACACAGGCAGAGGGAGAAGCAGGGTCCATGCACTGGGAGCCCGACGTGGGATTCGATCCCGGGTCTCCAGGATCGTGCCCTGGGCCAAAGGCAGGCGCCAAACCGCTGCGCCACCCAGGGATCCCAGTTTCCTTTTAATATATAAATACTATCATTGTAGACATATTACTTTGAACTTTCTTTTGTTATTAAACTTGGTGACTCTTTCATGTCTGTGTGTATAGATTAATCCACTCTTTATAGCAGCTATATATCCTGGTCCATATAATGAAAGTAGCATAATTTATCTGACACTTAAGTTATTTGATACTTCTGAAACTGATGAACATGAAAGTTTTTAATTTATCACTTTACATACAAGGCTGAAATGTATTTTCTTGTCTTTACGACTGATGATCAGATACTACAATTTGAATCATTCTCAAGAGATAACATACTATGTTTGCCACACAGACTTAAGGAATCTAGAACATGCAAACAAAGTTTTCTTTTTTTTTTTTAATAATGAACCGTGTGGGGTTTTTTTTTGAAATTTTTTTTAATTTTTATTTATTTATGATAGTCACAGAGAGAGAGAGAGGCAGAGACACAGGCAGAGGGAGAAGCAGGCTCCATGCACCGGAAGCCCGATGTGGGATTCGATCCCGGGTCTCCAGGATCGCGCCCTGGGCCAAAGGCAGGCGCCAAACTGCTGCGCCACCCAGGGATCCCCCAAACAAAGTTTTCTTAGTTGAATTTGTTGACTCATTTGATGATAAAATGAGAAATACTGGCAGGAGAGTTATTCTAGTTGGTGAAAGAATTCCTGTGTTTGAGGTTAGGAAGAGCTCAGTCAAGGAACAAATCTGTTTCTATCTTATCAGCTCTATTAATTATTTAACCCAATGTAAGGGCTAAGGAATGCCGTACCAGATTGCACATATGCTTTATTGGAAAACAGTACCTAATTAGTTTAGTTTGGACTTGACTACTGAAGCCAAACATTTTAATGTTTGTTAGCTATTTGTGTATATTATTTCCTGAGCTGTCTAGTCATTGTCTTTGCCCATTTTTGTAAGGGAGCTACTCTGTTTTCCTTTTGGTTTCTAAGAGATCTTCATACATTAACATTATCTTTTTGTCATTTTTGCTTATATTATCTCCCATTTCTAATTTTTTTCCCGTAATCTATTTTTGTTTAATGGATGGCTCAAAGTTTACCATTAATGAAAGTAGAGGACTTCTGTCTTTACTCAGTCACAGATGCCTACAACTACTTGTTCTAGCATTAACTCATAGAAAACTCCTAGTGAATTTTCTACTTGTTTTAAGGAAGTTTATTTCCTCACAGGGCACAAAAAGAGTAGAGCTGTAGAAGTGATTTATTTATTTTTATTTTTTATTTTTGTAGAAGTGATTTAGATCTTGAATTTCAGGAATGAAAATCAGTACTAAACATTTTACCTGATTACCATCTTAATTATCAATTATCTTAATTTTATAATCAGATAAAAAGGTTAAAGACATAAAAATGTTTTAAATAAGTATTTAAGTCAGAGTGCCAATCTCTGTCATAAAGGTAAAGGCAAAAATGATGACTAACAATATTTTAAAAGAAGAATTGATAATGTAGTATATATAAATCACATTAGACTAGGAATAAGGAGACATTAGCTCTAGTAACAGCTCTACCCCTAACCTGCTGCATGAAATCTCCTAAGTTTCTGAGCTTCCCTCTGTTTGCTCCGTCCCTGACAAACAGACCTGGTTTATTCTTTAATTCCACATGTAGTCAGCATTCAAGACAAACCCAGTAGATGGTGGTCATGAAAGTGGCAATTGTAGATACTATAAATGAGCCTGACTCTTCAAAACACAACCAAATAAAAATAGTGATAATATTCTTGTTTTAAAAACTGTAAAGGAGGGGATCCCTGGGTGGCTCAGTGGTTTAGCACCTGCCTTCAGCCCAGGGCGTGATCCTAGAGTCCCGGGATCGAGTCCCAGGTCAGGCTCCCTTCATGGAGCCTGCTTCTCCCTCTGCCTGTGTCTCTGCCTCTCTTTCTCTCTGTGTCTCTCATGAATAAATAAATAAAATCTTTTTAAAAAAACTGTAAAGGATATAATTTGCCTTCATACATTCCACCTGTCATGGAGAAATCATGAGATCTAAGTACACCACTATACCTAAGTATATGATGTTTTTCAATTCCTAGCCTAATCTTGACTGTGTATCTATTGAAGAGTATTTGTGAATATTTGGTCTTGGACTAGCAGAAATATATCTCAGCTGCTTAAGAACAGCACATTTATGATTACTTACAATTTTAAATAGAATTTTGTCATTTAGAGTGATAAATATAATTATTTGTTGTTATGACTACTATCATTTAAGCATTATTCAATAGAGCGGGTTCCTTCACAATAGGACTATGAGTTGACTTTTTGTCTTTGGATAATGAAGAATAGTGTCTATTTTTTTTTTAGTGTCTATTTTTAATAAAACTCCCAATCAGAGGTAGATGGAGAAACACTCAAGGAAAAGAATTTCTGATTCCTGATCTCTCACATTCAAACATGAGAGAGTAAGAAAACAAAGAGAAAATGTATTATCAAATGCTCATCCCTGCAGAGACGGGGTACGAAGTTGTTTTCAACAGAAAGATCCTGTTTCAGCACTTTTTAGATTAAGCTCCTCTTCACCCCATGCAAGCACATGAGAACCTTGGGAGGCCTAGGTATGAGGCAGGGGGTCTTTACTGTGAGGGCTTTAGAACTTTAACACAGTACTTCACCTCTTTCATTTTAATAATGAAGAACCAGAAGTTAAGGTCACACAGCCAGTCACTGGAAGAGCTAGAAATAGATTCTAGGTCCCAAAAACCTATCAGATTCTGAGTTGTCTAACAGTTTGTTTCAAAAAAATAATAGTGCGGGGCACCTTGGTAGCCCAGTGGGTTAAGAATCTGCCTTCAGCTCAGGTCATGATCCCAGGGTCCTTGGATGGAGTCCCGTACTGGATTCCCCCCAGGGAGTCTGCTTCTCCCTCTATGTCTCTGCCTTTCCCTTTGTGTCTCTCATGAATAAATAAAATCTTTTAAAAAAGATTATACTGCATTTTCTAACTGTTTTAGCCTTATTTCACAGAAAGCTGAATGATCCTTTTATTTAGATATTTATAGAGATGATAGACCTGTATTTGCCTTTAATTTTAAGTAATTCTGGATCAGGGGTAAAGCAGTAACAAAGGGTCAAAAAGAAGGCTACCTATTAAGACTGATTAAAAAGAGCCTACAGGGATCCCTGGGTGGCTCAGCAGTTTAGTGCCTGCCTTCAGCCCAGGGCATGATCCTCAAGTCCCAGGATCGAATCCCACATCAGCCTCCCTGCATGGAGCCTGCTTCTCCCTCTGCCTGTGTCTCTTGCGCTCTCTCTCTCTCTCTCCCTGTGTCTCATGAATAAATTAAAAAATCTTAAAAAAAATAAAAATAAAAAGAGCCTACAGCTGGAGTCGAAAGACTTGGGTTTAAGATCCACATTCCATCTCTGTAGTCCTGGCAAAATCCCTGCACATTACTAATTTACTTGGCAAATACTACGTACTTCACATGGTATTTTGATAACTAAATAAGGGAATATAGGCTGTACTTCTTAAAAATGTAAATTGTTACATACATGGTTAACACTTAATATTTATTTATTTATTTATTTATTTATTTATTTATTTATTTATTTATGATAGTCACAGAGAGAGAGAGAGAGAGAGAGAGAGAGAGAGAGAGAGGCAGAGGGAGAAGCAGGCCCCATGCACCGGGAGCCCGACATGGGATTCGATCCTGGATCTCCAGGATCGCGCCCTGGGCCAAAGGCAGGCGCCAAACCGCTGCGCCACCCAGGGATCCCATGGTTAACACTTAAAACATGAAATAGGAAGTGGACAACTGAGAACATTTCAGTTTTACAGACAAGAGTTTAAACACACAAAAAAATGGCTTATTCAAACACAGGTAGCCAGAATAGAAGCTAATTCTAGGAAAACAATTAATTAAATGACATTATTATTATTATTATTATTATTATTTTTAACAAACAAGGCTTCAATCCAAAGGTACCCTGGCAACAGCAGACTTAGTGAACAGATTTATCACAAAGCTCACAAGGGAAACACTAGAAATAAGAAAACATACCAGATGTGCTAAAAGGTTCCTGGCCTTCAGAGGAATTCTGCTCTGTTTCTCTTACATAAAATGTAAGCTGAATTGGTTTCAAAGACTTGAAGCCTGGTTTCTGGAGGTTTTCTAAGTAGACACTTAATCTCTTAAGAGAATTTTCATTTACTTCCTGAAAAAAAAAAATCAAGGGGCATTTACACACAAAACAGAACAAGAAAACAGAAATTATATCCTGACCTTTAAACACATTAATGAGGGTATTAAACAATTTAGTATTAAATATGTTGAGATTTCGTAGCTCTTTGGTGAAGAATAAAATTGGATCCACATCTTACAACACGAAACAAAACTAAGGTTACCATGTGAAAAAATGTTAACTGTATAAGTACTAGAAGAAAACATGGTTGACTCCATTATAATTTTGGTGTGGAAAAAGCCTAACTATGACTAAATATCTCTAATATATGATTGACAATACATCGATAAATCCACTTACATAAAAAAATTAAAAACTCAAAAAAAAGCACACAACCCCTCCTCCCACCACACACACACACTGAGCAGTTCACAGGCAAATAAGCTACTGGGAGAAAATATTTGCAAGTTATTTCTCTCTATATATAGGCTCTTAAAATGACTGTCCAGTGACTGGTTGAATTATGGTACATTCATTCAATAGAATACTATACAACCAAATAGAGAATGTGGTGTAGGTGTCTAGGAATTGACATGGAGTTATTTTCAAGATTGTTAAGTGAAAGAAAGAAATGCCCTTTCATGAATGAATAGCTCTACAAAAGGGCATAAATCGTAACCATGTTTCCTATCATTTTAGGTTTCTTCTCAAACACATTGTGTGACTTGAAATTAGGAACAGTTTATTTTTGTTTGTTTAAATGATTATAGTATGCTGTTCTTAGCTACTAGAATTCAGCAGGCAGCTGATGTACATTTCCTGCTAGTGTAAGACTAAATCTTCATAATTATGTTTTGCTACAAGTTCCTATTTTTGCAAAAAAGAAATAGGCAGAACCCAGAAACGAATAAAAATGGTTATCTACAGAAAGTTACAGGAATGGGGTAAAGAAATGGGGACAGGAGGAATTAGACTTCTAAATAAACTTTGTATTTAGTTTTAATTTTTGAAACCTAGAAATGTTTTGTGTATTTTATTTTCTTAAATTCAATTAGCAAATATATGAGTAGCCAACATCATGAGTTTCAGGTGTATTCAATAATTTTATCATTTGTAAATAACACCAAGTGCTCATCATTTCATGTGCCCATTACCAAATCATCCTATCTTCCCACCTATCCCCCCTCCAGTAATCCTCAGCTTGTTTCCTATAGTTAGGAGTCTCATGGTTTTTTCTCCCACTTTGATGACTTTCCCTCCCTTCTCTTATGATCCTCTGTGTTGTTTCTTATATTCCACAGATGAGTGAAATCATATAATAATTGTCTTTCTCTGATTGATTTATTTCACTCAGCATAATACCATCAGTTCCATCCATGTCGATGTAAATAGTGGGTATTCATCCTTTCTGATGGCTAATACAGTAATATTACACTGTGTATATAGACCACATCTTCTTTATCCATTCATCTGTCAATGGACATCTTAAGTATTTCCATCATTTAGCTATTGTAGACATTGCTCCTATGAATATGGGGGGCAGGTGCTCCTGCAGATCACTACACTTGTATTTTTGGGGTAAATCCCCAGTAGTGCAATTGCTGGATCATAGGGTATCTCTATTTTTAACTTTGAGGAACCTCCACACAGTTTTCCAGAGTGGCTATATCAGTTCACATTCCCACCAACAGTGCAAGAGGGTTCCCCTTTCTCCACATCCTCTCCAACATTTGTTGTTTCCTGTCTTGTTAATTTTAGCCATTCTGACTGGTGTGGGGTGGTGTCTCATTGTGGTTTTGATATCAAGTGATGTGGAACATTTTTTCATATGTCCATTGGCCATTTGTTTGGAGAAATGTCTGTTCATGTCTTCTGCCCATTTCTTGACTGGATTATTTGTTTTTTTTGTGTGTGTGTTAAGTTTGATAAGTTCTTTGTTGTTTGTTTTACAAACCCTTGTATGGAGGGCTGACTTTCAATAGATCGCAGCGAGGGAGCTACTTGGCTACGTACGAAATTCCGACCCAGAAGCAGGTCATCTACGAATGGTTTAGCACCGGGTTCCCCACGAACCTGCGTTTCAAGATGGGTGAGGGGTCGGCCCCCTTTCCGGCCGCGCCTGTTTTCCGGAGGAGGGGCTCTCTGCACGGAACCCCGGTCCTGACTCACGGCAGGGTACACCATGCCATGCAGCAGAAGCTTTTAATCTTGATGAAGTCCCAATAGTTCTTTTTTTTTTTTTTTATTTCCCTTGCCTTTGGAGATATGTCTAGGTCGAAGAGGTTGCCGCCTGGTCCAGCAAGAAGTGTTCCAATTTCATTCTCTTACATGTGGCTGTCCAATTTTCCCAGCACCATTTGTTGAAGTGACTTTTTTCCAGTTGGTATTCTTTCCTGTTCTAAGGGTTATTGACCATAGAGTTGAGAGCCCATTTCTGGGTTCTCTATTCTATTCCATTGATCTATGTTTTTTTGTGCCCGTATCATACTCATACTGTCTTGATGATCACAGCTCTATAATATAGCTTAAAGTCAGGCATTGTGATGCCCCCAGCTTTGGTTTTCTTTTTCAACATTCCTCTGGCTATTTGAGGTCTTTTCTGGTTCCATACAAATCTTAGGATTATTTGTTTCATCTCTGTGAAAAATGTTGATGGTATTTTATAGGGATTGTATTGGATATGTAGATCGCTCTGTGTAGCATACACATTTTCACAATATTTATTCTTCCAATCCATAAGCATGGAATGTTTTCCACTTCTTTGTGTCTTCCTCAATTTCTTTCATAGTGTTCTGTAGTTTTTAAGAGTATAGATCTTTCAGTAGAATAGGTATTAATTCTTCTTTAAATATTTGGTAGAATTTCCCTGGGAAGCCATGTAACCCTAGACACTTGCTTATTCGGAGTTTTTTGATGACTGCTTCAGTTTCCTTGCTGGTTATTGGTCTGTTCAGGTTTTCTACTTCTTCCTGTTTCAGTTTGGTGGTTTATAACTTTCCAGGAATGCATCCATTTCTTCCAGATTGCCTAACTCGCTGGCATACAGTTGCTCATGATACATTCTTAAAATTCGCTTTAATATTTCTTGCAGGGGGATCCCTGGGTGGCGCAGCAGTTTAGCGCCTGCCTTTGGCCCAGGGCGCGATCCTGGAGACCCGGGATCGAATCCCACGTCGGGCTCCCGGTGCATGGAGCCTGCTTCTCCTTCTGCCTGTGTCTCTGCCTCTCTCTCTCTCATTCCGTGTGACTATCATAAATAAATAAAAATTAAAAAAAAATTAAAAAAAATATTTCTTGCAGGGCTGGGTTAGTGATCACAAATTCTATTATTTTCTGTTTGTTCTGGAAGCTCTTTATCTCTCCTTCCATTCTGCATGACAGCCTTGCTGGGTAAAGTATTCTTCATTGCATATTTTTCTCATTTAGTATCCTGAATGTATCATGCAGGTCCTTTCTGGCCTGCCAGGGTCTCTGTGGATATGTCTTCTGGCAGCCTAATGTTTCTACTTCTGTAGGTTAGGAACCTCTTGTCTTGAGCTGCTTTCAGGATTTTCTCTTTATCTCTGAAATTTGCAAGCATCACTAACATATGTCTGGGTGTTGACCTATCTTCATTTTGAAAGGGGTCCTCTCTATCTCTTGGACTTGAATACCTGTTTCCTCTCCAGATTAGGAAAGTTCTCAGCTATGATTTGGTCACATATACCTTCTGGCCCTCTCTCTTCTTCCTCAGAGACTACAATAATTCTAATATTGTTTTGTTTTATGTGGTATCACTGATTTCTCCAAGCCTCTCCTCATGGTCCTTGTTGATTTTGTCTCTTTTCTAGCTTCTTTCCTTTCCATCAACTTGTCTTTATGTCACCGACTCTCTTCTTCCTCATTTACCCTAGCTGTTAGAGCATCCAATTTAGATTGCAGCTCAGTTAAATCATTTTTAATTTGTCCTCATTAGATTTTATTTCTGCACTAAGAGATTCTCTAGTGTCTTTTATGCTTTTTTCAAGCCCAATAAGTAACTTTATAATCATTATCCTGAATTCCAGCTCTGACATTTTGCTTTATAACCATATTGATTATATATGTGGCAGAGAGTATTACCAGTGGTTCTTTGCTGTGAATTCCTCCTTCTAGTCATTTTGCCCAGAGAAAAATGGATGAATAAGAGAACAAAATAAAAAATAGTGATAACACAAGCAAAATACACACTAGACAAATCCAAAGAGGTCAGAAACCAAAGAAGAAAAGAATAAGAAAAAAATAGGGGAGGGAGAGAGAATATAATCTCCCAGGTGGACAAAAAAGGGTAATCCAGGTGGTCCTGGGTGTATTTTGGTCTGTTTGTTAGAAGACACTGAATCATAAAATTGTAAAGAAAGCAAAACTTTATATATATATAATATATATATATATATATATTTGAATTATAGTGAAAGGAAGCCAAAAATGAAGACTCTCTCTATACAATGTAGGTGTAAAAAAATGAAGGTTAAAAAAAGAATTAAAAAGAAGGAGCTGGGATCCCTGGGTGGTGCAGCGGTTTAGCGCCTGCCTTTGGCCCAGGGCGCGATCCTGGAGACCCGGGATCTAATCCCACATCAGGCTCCCGGTGCATGGAGCCTGCTTCTCCCTCTGCCTATGTCTCTGCCTCTCTTTCTCTCTCTCTCTGTGTGACTATCATAAATAAATAAAAATTAAAAAAAAAAAGAAGGAGCCGATAAAATAAGGAAGTGGTTGAAAAGGGAAAAAAGAAAAGGAAAACTTTAAACAGAAACAAATCATGAATTCTATATACTATTTTCCCCTAGAGCTGGAGTTTTGCAGTCCTGTGTGCTCCATAAACTTGGTGTTCTCTATACTTCCAAGTGTTCTTCTGGGGGAGGAGACTTCCATGCTGATTCTCAGGTGTCTGCCTGGGTGGAGTAGCACCGCCCCTTGTCAGGGGGCCAGGCTCAGTGTAAACTGCTTTTGGTTACTCTATGTGGCTTTTGTTCCCTGAAGGCTTTCTGAACCTCTTTAGAGGATGAAAATAAAAATGGCTATGTACCATCTTCACCCACAGAGGTGAAAGATCATAGTCCTCTCTCCACAGTAAACCCTCAGGGATAAGTAGTCTTCACTTTTTTGTGAAGTTTGTGCCAAACTCTGTAGTGTCCTGTGGTGCACACCCGCACTAATCCTCCAGGGGGGAAGGTGGAGGGGCATCACATTTTTGCCCTATGCAGAACCCCTACACAGAGTTGTTGCTGGACTGTACCATGATTCATGGCTTATAGTAAACCAAGCTCACTCCTAGGCTCTCTGACCAAACTGATTTCCCCACTCCAATGCTTGGGAACTCTTGCACTCAGGCACCCTTGTTCTTTCTGTGACCCAGTGAATCCTGAGACCACCCTGTGCCACGCAGGATTCTGTCCTGCTTCACCACCTGAGCACCTTTCAGGCAGGGACGTCTCTCACTGGAGCAGATTTCTAAAGGTTCTGATTTTGCACTCCAGGGCTATCTCACTTTCTGGTAGATGGCTTAGCGGCTCCCTCCCCCCACCATTTATCACTGATATACTGTGTAAGATTCACTTCTCCCTATCTCCCTTCCTTGCAGAAAAAGTGGTCACTTTTCTATTTGCAGAATTCCAGCAATTCTTTCCTTTTTTTTTTTTTTTAAAGATTTTATTTTTATTCATGGATTGACGGGGGGGGGGGCAGAGACACAGGCAGAGGCAGAAGCAGGCTCCATATGGGGAGCCCAACGTGGGACTCGATCCCGGGACTCCAGGATCACGCCCTGGGCCAAAGGCAGTTGCTAAACCGCTGAGCCACCCAGGGATCCCCCAGCAATTCTTTTCTTACATCTTAGGTTTAATTCATAGGTGTTCAAAACGATTTGATAGTTATCTAGCTAAATTCAGGGGAACAGATGAAACGAGGTCCCCTACTCTTCCGCCTACTTCCTTTTCTCCTGCTTGTTTTGTGTATTTTATAACTGAGTTAAGATGAAGAGGATTAACAACAATAGCTGTGCTTTACTTTGAGACTGTTTCCTCTAGAAAAGGGACAAGAGTGTCCCGTATAAATGCAGAGAAGACAGGCCTGCACATGAAGTGCCAAAAAGGGTGAACTGCCTTCGCAGACTTTGCATTTTGGTGATGGTATGCTTAAAATGAGAGAGAAGGGGACAAAGACGCAACAGAATGGCAGTGTGGGACCCAGGAAATTTAACAAAAATCCCCTACCCCTGGACAAGCAGAGCAGGACTAACTCCATTTTGTGTTGCACCCGCCACCTCCTGTATCACCCCCACATGACCTGCTTATTGCTTAAGGCGCTGCCCCACCCTAGTCAAGCCATTGAGCACACCCTTACGGGAAATTGGCTCATAAAAATGTAACCCCGCCTTGTGCCCGCCAAAACTGCGTGCCAATTCTGACCAGAGTGATGGGCCAGTTCAAATGGGTACTATAGGGTAAAATGTAATTCAATTGGCCACCTGTGTATGGACCGACATGACCGTGCAACTTTCTGTGTGTGTTACAATCTCATTGGCCACGGGCCCCTATAAAACTGCTATGCTTCTTAGCCTCGGGGTCCAAGTCCCTGCTCTGCTGTGTCGGGTATACTTGGACCCAAGCTTGAGCTTGTAAATAAACCCTCGTGTGTTTGCATCAGTGTAGGCTCCTTGGTGGTTTCTCAGAATCGCAATCTTGGGCACAACAGTAGGAAAGGGACAAAGATAGCAACAGAATGGCAGGCTATGGGGGACAAAGTGTGCTGGAGAGGAAGGTGGGCTGACAATCTCCAATACGGCAATCTGGGAGAGCCTCATGAAAGATCACACTTAAACAAGAAAAGAAAGAAGCCACATCTATGTGACTGACCCCAAATAAAAACCCAGAAACCAAGGCTTGGAACAGGGTAGGCACTCTAATACGAGTTCAAAAGTAAATGTAAATACAGTTGACTCCAGAACAACATGGGTTAGAACTGCATGGGACCACTTAAAAGTGGATTTGTTGGATAAATACAGCACTGTAAATGTATTTTTCTCTTCCTTATGATTTCTTAGTAACATTTTCTTTTCTCTAGCTATTTTATTGCAAGAATATAGGATATCATAAATATACCATGCAGAATATGTGTTAACTGAATATATTATTGGTAAGGCTCCTGGTCAATAGTAGGCTATTAGTAGTTAAGTTTTTGGGAAGTCAAAGGTTATACATAGATTTTTGAATGTGTAGGGGGTTAGTGCCCCAACCTCTGCATTGTTCAAGGTTCAGTTTTATTAACTTACCAGAACAATTACATTTCAGGTATATTGTGTTGGAGCTCTCCATGACCACTCTTCAGTTCAATTTAGTAGAAGAATTTATAGAACTCAGAAAAGCTGTTATATTCATGATTATGATTTATTATAGCAAAGGATACAGATTAAAATCAGAAAAGGTAAAAAGCATGTAGGGTAGAGTCCAGAAGAGGCCAGGTGAAAGATTCCAGTTCTCCTCTCCCAGGGGATTTATAGAGCTAGTCCTTAATTCCCCAGCAACAATGCATGACGAAGCATGAGAAGTGCTGCCAACCAAGGAAGCTCATCTAAGCCTTGGTGTTCAGCATTTTACTGGGCTCACTCATGCAGGAATGTAGTGCCTATGTGACTGACTTTATTCAAATGGTCTCCAGTATACTCAAAGGGCCTCAGACATATGAAAACTGGCATTCACCGAAACTCACATTTTTAGCATAAGATACCTGGCATGGCTTGAGACCTCACACATACAAAAGATGCCCATAAGGTAGGATATTCTAATGGCTCAGAGCTAATATCCCAGGAGGCAGTCAAGGGCCAACACCAAAGCCAGACATTTCTTTGGAATGTAGAGTTTAAGTAACCTGTGCCTGAGTTCACTTTTTAGAACACATAGAAGGTTTAATTAAAAAAAAAATACATTGGTAGAGGGGGGGAAAACATTCACCTACTACCAGGCATAATTCTTCCACACATGTTGGGTTTAAAAACTTTAAGTAAATAAATATCCATCCCCAAAGTAATGGATATTTTTCTGTTGATTCATTTTACTAATTATTAGAAAAGATCTGACTTTTAAAAGCCAATATATATATCAAATATTACAATCAGAATATTTTCCTAGAGCAAAGAAGCAAAATTAATTTTTTTCCACTGCAAGTAGAAAAAAATTATATAATAATGTTCTAAATTTTCTAGAGTTCTAAATTTCTTTTCATGTTAAACCAGGTATTAATGTTAAGGAAGATAAATAGAACCAATGAAATAATCTTGACCTTCCTCACCAAGTTTATTTAAGTTACTTTTTATCTCTGTTTGTACTCCTTGAGCACATAATAACTGAAGTTGTAGCAAAGTGAACCAGCAGCATGCAACAGAAGGGAAAACCACTTAGCCCACTGAAAAACTTTCCTTATAACTATCCTTAAAAAAAAAAAAAAATTGACCATGGTAACAGAAGCCTGAAATTTTCTTTCAAACACTACTTTGTATTCTAAAAATTGGCTCAGAAAACATGATTACTAATACTTTAAAGAGTCTCCATGGGATACATGGGTGGCTCTCAGCCATTGAGCGTCTGTCTGCCTTCAGCTCAGGGCATGATCCCAGGTTCCTGGGATCGAGTCCCGAGTCCCACATCAGGCTCCCTGGAGGGAGCCTGCTTCTCCCTCTGCCTATGTCTCTGCCTCTTTCTCTGTGTCTCTCATGAATAAATAAATAAAATCTTAAAAAAAAAAAAAGAGTTCCCATGATAGCTTTATTGTCTTCATAAAAAAATGACAGCTTTCATATAAAGGAAAAACCCAGCCTATCTCCTGTGTACCTCCTTTATAGTCACACAAAATATATCACTTCTGACACTTCTGGTCACCAAATGTTTTTCCCCACAATGAACAATTCTCTGTAACACCAGCTGGATGTCCTACAATTTAACTCAATTCTGACATTATGTTCCCAGAGACCGTGTCAGATCCCACAGGATAAAGGCTCAGCTCCCCAAGACTGCTCTCCCTCCACTGCCCCTTCCACATACACACACTTCAGATGCCACTCCTGTTACCACCTGTGCTTTTAATCAACCAGTAATTTGCAGCAACCCCCTCCTTAGATTCTATTAACTTGCTAGAGCAGCTTACCGAACTCAGGGAAAAACTTACTTATGTTTACCTTATAAAGGATACAATAAAGAATGCAACTAACTAGCCAGGTAAAGAGAGACACAGTGTCCCAAGTGCAGGAGCTTTGGTCCCCATGGAGTTTGGGATCACGACCCTTCAGTGTAGACGTGTTTGCCCACCTGGAAGCTGGCTGAATGCCATTACTACTAGAATTATATGGAGGCTTCCTCAAGTAGGCATGATCAGTTATTAACTCTATTTCCAGCCCTTATCTCCTCTCAGAGGTTGAGGGTTGGGGCTGAAAATTCCAAGCTTCTAATCATGCCTTGGTGTTTCCGGTGGCCAGCCCCCATCCAGGAGCCCAGGGTCACAACATTAGAACAGAAGATGCTCCTGGTGTTGCTATCACTTACGGATTTACCAGGGTTTTAGGAGTGAGGTGTCAGGGATGGGGTCAAAGACCAAAGAACAGAACAAGAGATGTTTCCAGTGTTCTTCTCACTTAGGAAGCTACAGGGTTTTAGGAACTAGGTGGCAGGAACTGGGGGAAAAGATCAATGTCTTTCCATTCCCTCGGATTTCATAAAACAATAGTTACAGTTTCAATTTTCAATATGTATATTTCAAAGTAATTAAAAACACTGACTTTATCACTATGACAACACAATCCAAATTTATAGAACTCTATTATATTGAGTCAAAAATAAGCAAAATTTCAGTTTATGAAATGTGGACTAAAGGTTAAATAAATATATGTTTACCCTTTCTCTGGGGTGCTGTCCAAAGAAATCTGGATGTACTGCAAAATAGAATGGCCTCAAGGCATTGACTGCTTCAGCTCCCGATAAAGCTCTTGAGGAGTTTCGAAACCAGGGTGGAAATATCTTCTCTAGACATAACCTTTTAAAAAGATGTGAATTTATTATTCACCAAAGCACTGACACACACACACACACACACACACACACACACACACACACACAGATTCTCCAATGCATAAAGTGACACTATAATAACATTAAAATTATTATGTATGAAAAATACCATAGAAAAAGATCCATTTGTTCTTCTCTTCCTCCACCCACCCGTCCTCCTCAGCTACTATGCACCCTTGAAGGCAGTAAACATGTTTTACGTATACATGCTGTTGTTGGCTATGTTAGTTGGCATCTGTCTAAAGGCAGAGATCAAAACACGCTTAGACACGTGAGAGAAGAACTGGGAAAGGAAGGAGAAGATAGGGAGAACTTTCAGACCATGATTTAGGCCTGACACCTAGGGTAGAGGAGAGGCAGGAGGACTGGATAGGAAGTCTTAGATTGTAGCAGTTTCGAGGGCTCAGCCAGGCTAATGAGGAACTGGACCAAAGGCAACCACTGGACGAGTCCTGTGTCTTGCTGGAATGAACCTGACTTAGTATTCCTGCTTTGCTTGGTCAGTGACAGCCAAGAAAGTGTGGCATTGAGGCAAATCCATTTGGTGGACCCAGAGAGGTAAGGAGAGCTCAGTGGATATCTTATGGGGTCATAGCATAGGGTCTGGCACAAGTGTTATTAATGTATGTTAAATGAGTATCTAGTAGGTAGTTAATGAAAGGAAACTCAACAGAATCAAGGAAAACTAAATCAAAAGCAATATCATGTTGCTTGAAATTGAACAAATTTGGCACAGGAAAATCTGGGTTATAAGACATTAGGAAAGGATTAGATTTTTGAAAGACGAATTACTAAAAGAGAGGACAGCAAACCTTTTCTGAAAAAAGGTCTTACAGTAAACACTTTAGGCTTTGTGGACCAATGGCCTGTGTTAGACTTATTCTACTTAGCCATTGTAGTGGGAAAGCAGCCACAATAAGCACATGAATGAGTGTGCCCATGGTCAAATAGATTTTTACTTACATAAATAGGTAGTGGGCCCATCTGACCCATAGACTATACTTTGCTGACCTCTGCACTAGAGGATTTCTTTAAATATAAGTATCTCAAGTACATTTAAAAATACATATACAATTTATTTATTTTTATTTTTATTTATTTATTTTTTTTACATATACAATTTACTTCTAATTTTTGTAGATCACAGACTATGTAGGGTGAGAAATTTGCCAAATCATATGGATTTTTCCAAAAAAGAAAGTTATTCAACTGATAAGAGCAACATTGCCTTGAGTCAAATCAAACGGAGAGCCATTAAGCTCACTTTAGGAGACTGGCGAATTTACAGACTGGAGTAACAGAATGTCACTACTGGTATCTATTTTATATTTAAAGCATATGACTTGATTGCTAATTAACAGCAAAGAATTTGCACTGCAATTACTCTAGAGCAGTGTTTTTCATGATCCATGGTGTGATAAAATTAACCTACAGGGTCATGACCAGTATTAAAAAAGAGAAGACATGCAACAGAAAATATCACTGGATATTGTGTGTGGCAAGGGCAACTCCTGTTATGGAACTTGTATGCATTATGATTAAAATATAGTTTTCTGAAGACTGGAATAAAACAAGCTCGAAAAGTGTGGTTCTATAATGCAATCACTACTATTCACTGCCTATCAATGGCATGGAGTGAAGAGGCAAGCATTCCTTTAGGCTCCTATGGCGTCTCCTTGTATTGGAGCATGAAAATACAATATATTAGTCTATTTTTCTGTGGTTGAACATTATTAAGATACCACAACATGAATAATGTCTTTTTTTTTTTTTTTGAAGAATGTCTCCACATCTGCAGAATAACAAGTTTTCAGGGCACGGTATCTCAGTTTGTTTGTTTCCCTGCCTCTACTTCTCCCCTCTCTACCTCCTAAGAATTGTGTCATAAATTCAATTAGAGAAAGTTTTCCTTTCTTTGATAATCTTTGTCATATACAAGTTGGTGGAAAAAGTCTGTTTCCCCTAAATAACTTCCATTGACAGTGACTATTTACTTGCACAGGATAGTTATTTAAAGGTACTAATTACTGCCAAATATGTTTTAGGAACCTGAAACATCACATATTATTATTATTATTATTTTTTTTACATCACATATTATTTTTATGAAACAGGTCAAATTGTATTTTAGTTTTATATTTGAAGCCAGATGTACACTATTATTCCCTTTTTTGGCTTAGCTACCAAGAAACCGAACTAAATTTGACATCTGAGTAATTGTTTAATCAGTTCTGCCTTTCAACACAATAATCTTTTTCTTTACAGGGCTTCTGATGTCTTTCAATTAGCTCATTATGCCTATTATAAAATGCCAATTAAATTTGTATAGTTGAACTCCTTAAATCCTTTCTTGAAGTAGGATTTAGATTATATATCATAAATAACAAATACAGTAGTCAAATGATCTTACTATACAATTTAAATGTAAAGTGATTTTCCATCTGATAGCAATAGAGTTGAAGGCAACATGACAAAAACTGTGCTAAGGACAAACTCTATCTTTCCTCCTCTTAAACTTTTCAGACTGAATTATTCTGAAAGATAGTATTCTTTTCACCTTCTGCCCTGAATAGGAACTCTTGGAGGACCTGGATATTCATATGAATTTTCTTTTTCTCTTTTTGTTCCTGCCCTCCACCACCATTTTATAATTTTAGAATTTGAAAAATAACAATAAATTAAAATTAGCCAAATGCATAACAGAATCCCCCTTCCGTATTAATTACAGATTGGACCACAAAGCTTACCTTCTCACAGGTCTCAGGTGGCAAAACATTTCTGAATATATATGTACATCAACTCCCAGGCATCCATTAATCACTTAAAAAGTTAAGCAGATACAAGTGATGAACAAAGAGAATTTGAAACGAAAACATTACCATTTATATTAGCACCCCCCCAAGTGAAATGCTTATCTATAAATCTGACAAAATATGTACAAGATCTAAATGAGTAAAATTACAAAAATGATGAATGAAATCAAAGAAGAATTAAATAAATAGATAAATAAATAGATAATTAAATAAATTAAATAAATAAATAAATATCCATCCCATGCCCATGGATAGGATGACTCAATATTGTCAAGATGTCAGTACTTTCCAACTTAATCTATAGGACAACAAATTGAATCTACAGATTCAGTACAATCCCAATCAAAACTCCAGTAAGTTATTTTATGGATATTGACAAACTCGAGTAAAAGACGCAGAATAGCCAACTCAATATTGAAGAACAAAGTTGGAAGAATGACACTACCTGACTTCAAGACTCACTATACAGCTATAGTTATCAAGACAGTGTGGTACTGGTAAAAGAATAGACAAATGGATCAATGGAACAGAATAAAGAGCCCAGAAATAGATCCACATAAATACAGCCAACTGATCTTTAGAGCAAAGATAATCTTTTCAACAAATGGTACTAAAACAACTGGACATCGACATGCAAATAAATTAATCCAGGTACAGACCTTATACCCTTCACAAAAATTTACTCAAAACGGGTCACAAACTTAAATATAAATCACAAAACTATAAAACTCCTAGAAAATAATATAGGAAAAAAAATCTAGATGACCTTGGGTATGTTGATGACTTTTAGATATAACACCAGAGGCAGGATCCATGAAAAAATAATTGAAAAAGAGTTGTTATCTCCATTTTGGTGTTTTGTCTTTATAGTAAATAAAAGTTTCTGAACAAAGAAAAAAATGGGCCAAAGACTTGGACACCTCATCAAGTAAGATATATAGATGGTAAATAATCAAAGGAAAAGATATATCATTAGCAAACTGCAAATTAAAACAACAACGAAATACTACTACACATCTATTAGAATATCCAAAGTCCAGAGCACTGACAACACTAAATGCTGATGAAGATGTAGAGCAAAATGAATTCTTACTGCTGGTGGGAATGCAAAATGGCACAGCCACTTTGGAGGACAGTATGGTAGTTTCTTACAAAACCAAACATACTTTCACCACATGATCACTCTCACACAATCACACTCCTTGGTATTTACTCAAATGAACTAAAAACTATGTTTACATAGAAACCTGCACACCAATGTTCATAGTAGCTTTATCCATAACTGCCAAAACTTGGGAGCAGTCAGGATTTTTTCAGTAGGTGAATGGATAAATAAACTGTAGTACATCCAGACAACGGAATATTATTTAGCACTAAAAAGAAAAGGTCATCAAGCCATGTAAGAAAAGATGTGGAAGAAGCTTCCAAAGCGATAGTAATTAGAACAGTATGATATTGACATAAAAACAGACATTTAGATTAACAGGACAGAATAGAGAGCCCCCAATAAATCTATGCATATATGGTTAATTAATTTATGACAAAGGAGCCAAGGGGAAAAGATAGTCTCTTCAAGAAATGGTGTTGGGAAAACTGGACAGCCATATACAAAAGAATGAAACTGAACCTCACATAGCACACACAAAAACTAATTCAAAATGGATTAAAGACTTGAACACAAGACCTAAAAGCATAAAACTCCTAGAAAAAGAAAAAGGTGGCCAGCTCTTTAACACAGGTCTTGGCAATGCTTTTTTGAATCCGAAACCAAAAGCAAAAGTAACTAAGCAAAAAGAAACAATTAGGACTACATCAAACTAAAAAGCTTTTGCACAGCAAAGGAAACCATCAACAAAATGAAAAAGCAACCTATTTATTGGGAGAAAATAACTGCAAAATCCAATAAGGGGCCAATATCCAAAATACATAAAGAACTTAACTCAGTAGCAAACAATCTGATTAAAAAATAGGCAGAAGGGTATTGGCTCAGAGGTTTAGCGCAGCCTTCAGCAGAGGGCCTGATCCTGGAGACCTGGAATCGAGTCCCATGTCAGGCTCCCTGCCTGTGTCTCTGCCTCCCTCTCACTCTCTCTGTGTCTCTCATGAATAAATAAATAAAATCTTAAAAAAAAAATAGAAGATTTGAATGGATATTTTTCTAAAGAAGACATACAGAATGGCCAACAGACATATGAAAAGATGCTCAACCTCATTATCAGGGAAATGCAAATGAAAACTACAATAAGATAATACTTCATATCTGTTAGGATGGTTACTACCAAAAAGACAAAAGAAATAACAAGGGTTGGTGAAGATGTGGAGAAAAGGAAACCCTTGTACACTGTTGGTGGGAATGTAAATTGGTGCAGCCGCTATGGAATACAGTATGGAGGTTCCTCAAAAAATTAAAGATTGAACTACCATATGATCCAACAATTCCTTCTGGGTATTTATCCAAAGAAAACAAAACCACTAATTCAAAAAGATGTATGCATCCTCATGTTCTTGCAGCATTATTCACAATAGCCAAGATATGGACACAACCAAAGTATCCATTGATGAATGAATACAGAAAATATGATACACACACACAATCGAATATTATTCAGCCATAAAAAAGAATGAAATCTTGCCATTTGCAACAATATAGATGGATCTCAGGGACAGTATGCTAAGTGAAATAAGTCAGACAAAGAAAGACAAATACTGCACAATCTCTCTTAAATGTGGGATCTAAAAACAAAACAAAACAAAACAAAACAAAACAAAAAACAAAAACAAAATGAAAAAACCCACCAAGCTTATAAATATAGAGAACAGATTGGTGGCTGCAAAAGGAGGGGTGTGAGTAGAGAAGAAATGGGTGAACTGTCTTTTTTTAGTTTAAATAAACTCAATATAGATTTTTTAAAAGTTTAAAAAAGATAAAGAAATGAGTCATCAAGCCACAAAAAGACATAGAGGAAACTTAAATGCAAATTACTAAGTGACAGGGTCACCTGGGTGGCTCAGTGGTTGAGCACCTGCCTTTGGCTCAGGGCATGATCCCGGGGTCCTGGGATTGAGTCCCATATCAGGCTCCCTGCAGGGAACCTGCTTCTCCCTCTACCTGTGTCTCTGCCTCTCTCTCTCTGTGTCTCTCATGAATAAATGAATAAAATCTTTAAAAAAATTACTAAGTGACAGAAGCCAATTTGCAAAGATTATATAATATATGATTCCAACTATACAATATTCTGGAAAAGGCAAAGCTATGGAAACAGTAAAAAGTTCAGTAGTTGCCAGGGGTTGGGGGAGAGAGGGATGAATAGGTGGAACAGAGGATTTTTAGGGCAGTGAAACTATTCTCTATACTACCACGGTTGATACGTAAAATACTTTTATCAAAACCCTAATAGAGGGATATACAACATCAAGAGTGAACCTTAATATAAGCTGTGGACTTTGGGTGATAATGATGTGTCAATTAGGTTCATGAATTCTAACAAATGTACCATGCAAGTATGGAAGACTGTGTGTATCAGGAACAAGGAGTATATTGGGAACTCTATATTTTGCTGTGAACCTAAAAGTGTTCTAAAAAGTTTATTTTTTAAAAAAATTCAAGCTTACAAAAATTAAAAAAAGAAGTCAAGCAGATAAAAGGGGGAAGAGATTTTTAATTACATGATCTTTTCCAATAATTTAGATTTTAGGAAAATCTTCAACTACAGTTGGTATCCATGTCAACTGACATAATGATTTAAAGAATCCTATGAGAAAAAAAAATCCTATAAGTAGTTCCTAAATAAGTCTTGAAATGCCACATTACTCACACAATAATCACCAGGTAAAAAACTCTTTCCCTCTATTATCAAGCTCTTAGCTTTCTCACTCTCCATTATTCCATTCTTCCAGAGATCTATTGAGCAACAGTCTCTTAAACCACTAGTTTCTAAAATCATATTCTGTTAAATCTTGAGCATTAAGTATGTTGAAAAAAATCTTCACATGAGGGTTGCCTGGGTGGCTTAGTTGGTTAAGGGTCCGGCTCTTGATTTCAGCTCAGGTCATGGTCCCAGGATCATGAGATCGAGCCCCATGTCAGGCTCTGTGCTGGGTGTGGAGCCTGCTTAAGAGTCTCTCTCTCTCTCTCCCTTTCCCCATACCCCAATCCCTCCACAAAAAATATTTTTATGATGTATTAATATACCTGAACCAAGATAATGTAATGAAGCATAACTGCCATTAATAGAATGATAGAATTATGTTTTTTAAGGCCAATCAAGAATAGCCTTTAAAAATGTACATATTCAGGGATCCCTGGGTGGCGCAGCGGTTTGGCGCCTGCCTTTGGCCCAGGGCGCGATCCTGGAGACCCGGGATCGAATCCCACGTCGGGCTCCCGGTGCATGGAGCCTGCTTCTCCATCTGCCTGTGTCTCTGCCTCTCTCTCCTTCTCTCTCTGTGACTGTCATAAATTAAAAAAAAAAAAATGTACATATTCAAACAACAATGGATACTTTATTTTCTGGTTGACTGATGTGGCAAGAGTCTCTGGGATGCAGAACGTGTTTAGAGGTATCTATTTAAATGTTTAAAAAGGTGATTTTAGGGAAGCCTGGGTGGCTCAGTGGTTGAGCACCTGCCTTCGCCTCAGGACATGATCGCGGGGTCCTGGGATCGAGTCCCACATTGGGCTTCTTGTGTGGAGCCTGCTTCTCCCTCTGCCTGTGTCTCTGCCTCTCTCTCTCTCTCTGTCTGTCATGAATAAATAAAATCTTAAAAAAAAAAGGTGATTTTATTTAACCATTCATCTTTAATTTTGTTTGAGACAAATACACAGATACAAGAAATACTCCTACCATTCTGAAGATTTCTGAGACCAAATGGAGATGCAATGAGGAAAAAGAACCATTTAGACTATCTAAAGGTTCAATGCAATCTATGATGGACTAAATTCTCACCAAATTATTTCTCAAGAAATAACCAAATAATCTAATCTTAGTTAAGACAGCACAGATACAA